TTTAAGACAATCTGCTCGTCTAAAAAAAACTCCTGAATGGCATAAAGACTACATATTGCCAGCTTAAGCCAATCAATCTTCTGCTATGCCAAGTCCAACATCAGGTACTCGATATCCTCTTTCTCATTATCTTTCTTACTCTCGCATATCTTCAGCACATTGCATTTTCCTAGCTAACATTACAGGTCACACAGAACCTTCATCATATGCTCAGGTTGTTCTTGATCCACATTGGCGACAAGCCATGAATGCTGAATTAGAAGCATTAAAAGATAACAAGACTTGGAGCTTAGTTCCACTCCCTGTTGGTCAGAAACCCATTGGATGCAAATGGGTTTATAAAATAAAATACAAATCAGATGGAACGATTGAGCGTTATAAGGCTCGTCTTGTCGCAAAGGGATATACTCAGATTGAGGGAGTCGACTATCAAGAAACTTTTTCTCCAACAACAAAACTCACGACATTTCGTTGTCTACTTGCAGTTCTTTCTGCTAGAAATTGGTTCGCTTCTCAATTGGATGTCCAAAATGCTTTTCTTCACGGAGCCCTACATGAAGAGGTGTACATGGAACCTCCACCAGGTCTGCGCCGACAGGGGGAGAACACTGTATGCCGGCTTCACAAATCCTTGTATGGTCTTAAGCAATCATCGAGAAATTGGTTTCTCACATTTTCAGAAGCTATCCGTAAAGCTGGTTTTCAACAATCAAAGGCTGATTATTCCTTTTTCACCAAGGCGAAAGGTTCATCATTCACAGCAATACTTATCTATGTTGACGACATACTTCTCACAGGAAATGATCTTCAAGAAATTGAACGCATCAAAAGGTTTCTTCTCAAACGCTTCCGCATTAAAGATCTTGGAGAGTTGAAGTATTTTTAGGTATTGAGTTTTCTCGTTCAAAAAAGGGCATCTTTATGTCTCAGAGAAAATATGCAATAGACATTTTGCAAGATTCGGGAATCTTAGGAGCAAGGCCTGAATTGTTTCCAATGGAACAAAATTTGAAGCTTACTTCTACAGATGGAGTTGTACTGAATGATCCAACAAAATACAGAAGACTAGTTGGTAGATTGATTTATCTCACCGTCACAAGGCCTGACATTGTCTATTCTGTTCGGACACTTAGCCAATTTATGCAAGAGCCTAGAAAACCTCATTGGGATGCTGCTGTGCGAATTCTCAAGTATATCAAGGGTACTCCTGGTCAAGGTTTGTTATTTCCTTCCACAAACAATCTTATTTTAAAGGCCTTTTGTGATTCAGATTGGGGTAGTTGTCGAGCCACAAGAAGGTCCGTCACAGGATACTGTATTTTTCTTGGAAATTCACTTATCTCATGGAAATCAAAGAAGCAATTAGTTGTTTCTAGATCATCAGCAGAGGCGGAGTATCGAGCTATGGCGAACACTTGTTTAGAACTTACATGGTTAAGCTATATACTTCAAGACTTAAGGATCTCAAATGTGACTCCTGCAAAACTATTTTGTGACAATCAAGCTGCCTTACATATTGCAGCGAATCCAGTCTTTCATGAGCGAACAAAACATATTGATTTAGACTGTCACATAGTTCGAGAAAAGTTGCAAGCAAAACTGATAAGTCCTTCATATGTTCCTACACACTTTCAATTAGCAGACATCTTTACAAAGGCTTTGGGAAAAGATCAATTTGTAACATTGCGCAACAAGTTGGGAGTTCATGATATTCACTCTCCAACTTGAGGGGGAGTGTTGAGAAATACATATCTTGTACATATATTCTTGTATATTCAGTTTCCATATTAGTAGATCGAATCCCATTAATTGGGGATCACGATTTCTTACCTAAAGCTAGGCTAGATTGATTTGTATTAAGCTGTATATATATCGGATTGTGAATAAAGAAACTTACTTCAGCAAAATATATTGTTTTCTCTTCTTTTCCAAGAGTGGGAAATATCAACCGATGGAACGGGAATAATTTGGATTATTTTTTTCTCGTTGAATTTCTTGAGGAATTCGATTTCGGGTGATAAAGAGTTGGTTGTGATAGTAAGAATTGTAATTTTAATATTATGATGAGTAGCTAATCGATTGCCTATAACTAGTACTGGGATTAAATGTCCAATGCCAGGGCTTGACACTATAGCAACATGAAGTTGTGTGCTATCCATGGAAAAAAGAGAATTTTGTAACACTAAAGTTGGAAAAGAGAATTAAAAATGTTGATGAATTTTACAAAATGAAAGTGTTTAGGTATGGGCTTTATAGGAATCACAAAGTTTAGAAAATCATAAATAAATGAGAAACTTATCGAATCTTACTAGATTATAAGTTAATTATATACACTTTACTTCGCAATCATTCAAATCTTTCTAGATTTACAGATATATATATCTCGGGATACATGGGTAAAAATTAGATGTAATATGTTCTAGATACATTCTAGTATTCGCATGTATCTGAGATACATAGATAAATGTCTCTCTTCTCCACCCTATCTCACTCTCTCCCTATTTTAGTGTATCTGATAGTAAATATATTTATATCTAGGTGTATCTTCCTCGATATGTAGTAGAAAATTCTTAATTAGCGATAAAATACATAATTATTTAAAAATATAAATAAAATCAATATATTTTATATGAATATATATCTAATCAAATAATTTTTCCTAATAATTTATTTTCCAGCAAGGACAGTATGGTCAGTAGATTTGAGAACCACAAATATTCAGGAACCCTTAAAGCTTCCTAATACTACAAATAGTGTTTGTTTGGTGGTCAGGGATTCCTCTCCATTTCTCTTTTCTTCATTTTCTCTGAATTCTTACTTGGATGGGAGACACATAACATTAATCTATGACATATATCCTTAATCTAAGCAAGAACTTGGAAAAATGGAGAACGAAGAAATGGAGAGGTGTCGGATCTGATCATAAATGCCTAGAAGAAAAAGAAGGCATATGAAAAATGTTCCCTCTGTTTTAATTTACTTGTCTTACTTTTTCCTTTTAATTTGTTTTAAAAAAATGTTTCTTTACTAATTGACAATTCTTTAATCTCAAAAGGCAGGTTTAAGATTAAAAGAAATTGAAAATATTAGTCCGAAGCCAAATGACCATTTTTTTCTCCAAAATGCATAAAGAGTCACTCAGGTGATTTTAACAGCCAGCGTAAAAAATAAGATAATCGCGCTGCATAATCAGCGAGATATATAATCCATTCTTTCTTTCTCGTTGCCAAGCCAACGGGGTTTCTTCATTTTATTTTTTATTTTTCGGAAAAATAGCTGTTCGGTAAGTGAAAATTATTTTTAAAAATTTATGTTTAGTTAAAAGATTTTTTTTTAAAATTCTGTTTGTACAACGAATTTGATAAATTTGTTTTAATCGTCGCTTGTGCAGCGAGTTTGTTATTTTTTTTTTAAAAAAATCCCTGTTTTGCCGACGATTTTGTTATTTTTTTTTAATTCACTGCACAGGCAGCATTCACGTGAAGCAAACTTACAATTTTGACCAAAAATAAAGTAAAAAGTTCACGTGCAATAATATACATAATAAAAACAAAAGTTAAAATTTACATGCATCAGTTAAAAAAATAGTTCACAAGTTGAAAAAGTTAAGTTCACAAAAAAAATTAAGAATTTTTTTATTGTTTAAAATAATGTAATAGTCCCAAAAAATGGATAAGAAAATTCACAGTCACATAGTTCCCATAATTCTTTAGCAAGTATTATTTTCTGAAATTATTCACATCAAGTTGCTTATTATAGTAATAAATAAAAAAAGTTTTATGAGAATTATTATTTTATTTATTATTGAAAGAATCTAACAATTCTAAAAAGTGGAGAAATTAAAATATTTGTTGTAAGAAAATGAAGGATGCCACTTGGAGACTACCAATTTAGTGACTTTCATCACTTATCATGGTGTAAGGCAAATATGCATGCCATGTGGAAACCATCTTTTGAGAAACTATCAACACTTGGCAATTAGTAGCCAAGTTATACATTTGTACTTTAGCTTACTACTATAAATACCTACTACATTTACAGATGAATGGATATAGATTGAAAGACATTACTCTCTCCATTGTTCTCCTTTTTAAGTGTGTTAATCTTAAGTTTATTAAGTAATTATTTTATAACACGTTATCAGCACGAGACTCTGCCAACTTGAGCTACTCTAAATAGCTAAAAAGGGTAAGAATTTTATTTTTCTAAAAAATGTCTAATATTTCTAAACTTGAATTTGTTGCCTTGGATATATCGGGCAAATGATACTCATCATGGATACTAGACGCTGAAATCCACCTGGATGCGATGGGTCTGGTAGATACCATCAAAGATAATAATCAGGCATCCAGCCAAGATCGGGCTAAAGCTATGATATTTCTGTGCCACCATTTTGACGAGGGGTTGAAAATGCAATACCTCACTATTAAAAACCCCTTTATACTGTGAAATAATTTAAAAGATAGATATGACCACCTAAAGTTGGTCATTCTTCCACAGGCGCGTCATGATTGGTTTAATCTGAGGTTACTAGACTTTAAAAGTATAACTGAATATAATTCTTCCATGTATAGAATTATATCACAGTTAAATTTATGCGGAGAAGAGGTCAGTGAACATGATAAGCTTGAGAAAACATACTCCACATTCCCTGCCTCGAGTATGCTCCTGCAGCAGCAATATCGAGAAATGGGTTTTAAAAAATACTCTGAATTACTTTCACATCTGCTTATTGTTGAACGACATAACGACCTATTGATAAAAAATCATGAAAGTCAGCCCGTTGGTTCTATGCCACTCCCTTAAGTGAATCAGGCAAATTATCACCAACGAGAAAGAGGTTGTGGCTCCGGTCATGATCGTGGTCGTAAAATAAATTATAATCATGATGGTCGTCTTGCACCAAAAAATGACCAGCAGTATAAGAGGAAGGGTGAAAGACAAGAAGTGATACAAAAGAAAAATTCAGAAAGTGTATGTCATAGATGTGGAGTTATGGGGCACTGGTCGCGTACTTGTCGATCATCTAAGCGTCTGGTTCAGCTCTATCAGGCATCCTTAAAAAATGGTGATAATAATCCAAAAGCAAACTTTATCTCTGAAGATAATATTGAGCCCATACATAAGATGAATAATAATGCAGAAGCAAACTTCATCTCTGAAGATAATGTTGAGCCTATGCATCTGGATGTAGCTGATTTCTTTGTATTCCCTGAAGGAAAAACGATCAGTGATGAGCCCGCAATAATCTAGATAATTTCCTTTTCTGTTTGTTTATATTAGTTGGTGTGTTTATGCATTTCTAATCTTTGTAAATAAATAATGTTTGTATAATATCCATGTTTAATAGTAATATTTTACTTTGTTTATATCTGCTTTTGAAGAAAATATGGATATGCCCCAAACTTCGTTTGGATCAATGATCAATCATGAAGATATTTGTATAATTGATAGTGGAACAACGCACGCCATATTCAAAGATGAGAAATACTTCTCTTACTTGCTTAGAAGAAAAGCAAATGTTACTACAATTTCTGGTAATTCGAACTTAATTGAAGGCTCCGGAAGAGCTACTATATTTCTGCCTAAAGGGACAAAACTTGTTATAGAAGATGCATTGTTCTCTTCTAAACCCCCAAGAAATTTGTTAAGTTTTAAAGATATTCGCCGAAATGGATATCATGTTGAGACAATAAAATGAAAATGAATGTTGAATACCTTGGTATTACCAAGATTGTCACAGACCAGAAATATGTGTTGGAGAAATTATCAACTTTATCTTCTGGCTTATATTATGCAAAAATAAGTACAGTTGAAGCACATTCTATCATAAACCAGAAGTTTACTGACTTAAAAACTTTTGTGCTTTGGCAATGACCGAATAGGTCATCCTGGATCAATAATGATGAGACGAATCATTGAAAACTCGAATGGACATCCATTAAAGAACCTGAAGATTCTACGAGTGATGAATTTCCATGTGCTGCTTGTTGTCAGGGTAAATTGATTACTAGGCCATCACCAATGAAGGTTAACATTGAATCCCCTCAATTTTTAGAGCGTATACATGGGGATATTTGTGGACCTATTCACCCATCTAGTGGGTTGTTTAGATATTTTATGGTCCTAATAGATGCATCTTCAAGATGGTCTCATGTGTGCCTCTTATCATCTCGCAACCTGGCGTTTGCAAAATTATTGGCACAAATAATAAGATTAAGGGCGCAATTTCCAGATTATACCATTAAGGCAATTCGCCTTGATAATGCTGGAGAATTCACATCCCAAGCTTTTAATGATTATTGTATATCAATAGGGATAAAAGTTGAACATACTGTAGCTCATGTTCATACTCAAAATGGCCTTGCTGAGTCATTTATTAAGCGCTTAAAATTGATAGCAAGACCATTACTTATGGAAACGAAACTGCCCACTACTGTATGGGGTCATGCTATCTTACATGCTGCAACACTTGTTCGTCTTAGATCAACTAGTTATAATAAATACTCTCCGTCACAATTAGTATTTGGTCATGAACCAAATATTGCTCATTTACGAATTTTTGAATGTGCTGTATATGTGCCAATAGCACCACCTCAACTCACTAAGATGGGCCCCCAAAGAAGGTTAGGCATATATGTTGGGTTTGATTCACCATCCATAATTCGCTACCTTGAGCCATTGACGGGAGATTTATTTACTGCAAGATTTGCAAATTGTCGATTTGA